GTTGTTGTCTTCATAAGCCATTACTCCACTGTGGAGATTTCAATATTTCTCCATTTTTGTGCATATAATAATGTCACTGGAGTGAGCACATATACTAAAGAATATGCTAGTAAAACAGAGGGAAGAATTGGCGGAAGTCCTGGAAATCCAGGTCACAAATAAGGTTATATACCTGGGAATATATTTGACAGCAAGATGTGGCACACTTAAAGAGAATAATTATAATAAACTCAAGCAACAGATTGTGACAGACTTGGCAAAATGGGAAAACTTACATTTATCATTAATAGGGAGAGTATCAACAATTAAAATGAATATTTTACCAAGAATTTTATATTGTTCCAGACAATTCCAATTAGATTAAGGAAAGAGTATTTTGATGAGTTGAATAAAATAGTGCTGAAATATATCTGGCAGGGGAAAAAAGCAAGAATAAAATTAAAGTTATTACAAGATGCTAGAATAAGAGGTGGGTTCGGTCTGCCGAATTGGGAGTTATATTATCAAGCGACAACTCTGATGTGGGTCAAGGAATGGATTACACTGAGAAATACTAGACTATTGACACTTGAAGGACATGATTTGTTTTTGGGTTGGCATGCTTTCCTATGGTACAAGGGAACTAAAACACATGAATATTTTAGAAGACACTATATACGAGAGGCTTTATTATTAAATGGGGAGAAGATTAAAAGCAACACTATTTGAAAATTTCAGTCTGGCTTTCAACTATAGAAGCGTTTTCATATCCAGTGATATATAAAATGGAACAAACAGTTAGATATGACGAAATTATGAATGAAAAGGGTAAACTTAAATCTATGCAAGAACTGGAGCAACGAGGTATAAGGATGAATTGGTTTTCATATGCTCAAATACATTCTAGATATGATAAAGATCTCAAAACAGAAAGTTTTTATGATAAACTGCTTTAGATAAAATTTTAACAGGTACTGATGAAAAGGTGATTAAGAAATTATATGGATATTTATTAGAGGTTAAATTAGAAGAAGAACAAGTTAAAGAAACAATGATTGCATGGGGGGAAAAATTTGGATACGGGATTGACTTAGAAAGATGGCAAAAACTATGGTCTCAAAATTATAAAATGACAATGTCAACTGCATATAAAGAAAATTTGTATAAGATGTTTTACAGGTGGCATCTTCCCCCACGAGAATAGCAAGCATAGTTAAGAATAAATCTGAAAAATGTTGGAAATGTCATCAGATACCTGGCTCATTTTACCATATGTGGTGGACATGCACAGAGGCGAAAAAAATATTGGACTACAATCCACACATGGTTGGAAAAGATGACAAAAAGTCATATTGATTTTAAACCAGAAATATTTTTATTGGGTACCATACCAGAGATATACAGTAGAGAACTGATATATTTGATTGTGAATGTTCCAACAGCAGCTAGAATTGTATTTGCAAAGAATTGGAAAAATGAGAAAATACCAACACAGGAGGAAGTTATTAAGAAAATAGTGGAATGTGCTGAAATGAGTAAATTGACATTTGAAATTAGAGAACAAGAAGAAAAACAATATTATAAGATATGGGAATTATTTTATCAATGGTTAGAAAAAAAAGTGTGGAAATGATATATTTTATAGATAACTTTACAGTATAAAAATAATAGAATTGATATAAGAATGTATTTTTTATTAGATGAAGTGGCAATGGAAGTTATATTACATATTGGTTTAAAATGTTGAATATCCTATATGAAGTGGTGGAACAAATAGTTATTGTTAAATGAAAGAACCATAATGATAATCTATATATAAATATATACATACATACACACACAGACACACACACACACGCACATATATATATATGTTTTCTTAAGTTTTCGCGGGTACTTACATGTATGGCATTCAGCTTTGTTCGGGTATTTTCCCACGTCATTATAGTTGTGCTTTTAAAGTTGTAGCAACGTTTCAGCAGAATCTCATCTGCCATCATCAGGCTTCGGTATTGTGTTCGTCTGTGAGTCAGACTTTTACAACTGTGATGCCTTGGGGGACATCACTGTTGACAGGTACAGAATTTGATAGGATGCTCCCAATTTTGACCATTTGTTGTCTGTTTGACAGGAATGCTTCTATCTAGTCATGCAGGCGTCCAGAGATACCATAAGATTTTAGTTTTAGGAGTAGTTTGTCGTGTACCACTGAATCAAAGGCTTTACAGAAGTCTATATAGATTGCGTCTATTGCTTTGCTCTGATCGAGTTATGTAGTCCATATGTTTTTGCAGTGTAAGAGTTGCAGATTACAGGTTAGTTTTTTCCTGAAACCAAATTGTTTATTAGAGAGTAGGTTATTCGTTTCTAAATGAAGGATGATGGATTGGTTAATAATTGATTCCATGACTTTATAGGTGACGCAGCATAAAGAGATTGGTCTGTAATTTTCAACTAGGCTGGTGTCTCCCTTTTTGAAGATGGGGATGACCGTGGCTTGTGACCATAGTTTTGGCAAGGAGCTGGTCCTGAAAGATTTTTCAAAGATTATGCTTAGAGGTTCAGCTATGGCAGTGGGTAGCTTTTTTAACAAGCAGGCACATATTCCATCCAATTCAATAGATAGAGATGGTTTTAGATTGCGCGGTACTTTTTCAACAATGTCTTCTGTAAAATTGATATGTATTAGATCATTGTAGTTGTCTGTGGTCCGACTAGAAAATACCGGGCATGATCCATTGCTGTTTACAAATACTGAGCCAAAGAATGTATTAAAGAGGTTGGCTTTAATAGTGTTGTCATTTCAGTCTTTACCATTAGGTCCTTTCAGGGGTGGGATGGACCTCTTGAGTGTTTTAGTTTGTTGTTTACAAAATTGTAGAAAGCGCGGATGGAATTGGTGTGTAGAAGGTTTTCTTCTTGTTTAATGTGATAATTGGTGCATTTAGTTTTTATCTGGTGGCATAAATTTTTGTATCGGCTTTTGAAGTTGGCAACGTGACCAGATTTGTTTTTCCGCCAAAGTGATTTCTTTTTGGATTGAAGCTTCCTTATTGTTATGGGTAATCTGTTTTTTTCTGGTTTTGGGAGTTGTTAATGGTACATATAGTTTGATGACTCTTTTGACTTCAAGTAAAAATATGTTGTAATGGTCTTCTACAGTATTGCATCAGAGAATTCCCAGTCTGAAGCCCTCAAGATAGGTAAAATCAGAATTCTCAGCCAGAATGGCCAATTTATTTATTGTAGATTTTTTATCCTGCCTTTATTTTTAATTTTTTTTTACAAATGACTCAAGGCAGAAAAACATACATATTGTCCTTCTTCCTATTTTCCCCACAACAAACCTATGAGGTGGGCTGCACTGAGAGAGGATGACTGGCCCAAAGTCACCCAGCTGGCTTTCATGCCAAAAGCAGGACCAGAACTCACAGTTTCCTGGTTTAAAAGCTACAGTCCAAATATATTCAAAGGATATTAAATGAAGCAAAGCTGTCATAAAGACTCTAGTGCATGGGAGTGCCCTCTCATGCAGTGCAGGTTCTGCTATCCGGAGGGAATGCTTTGAAGGACTGGAAGAAAAGCCCATACCAAAGCAAAGATCAGATAAAAGAGGCTGAGCCCAGGCCAAGAAAATAATGGGAGTAATAATTTCAGACAAGTCTCTCCTAATTCTCATGAAGATAATGGGTGGGAGAAGAGAAATGCATTCAGGTTTACAAGATTCTGTTATTGTAGCTTCACATTTCTTAAACTCATTTCTAATACCATTGATTTGGATTTTTAAAAAAAGAATTTAATTTCCTTTTTTCTTGACTTTCTTACAAGTCACCTTATAGCCAAATAAAAACTGACTGCTTCCTTGAAGTGATTATAAACTAGCCAGAAGTCACACATTTAGGGCTTGTGATGCAACGGGCTAGATTTAAAAAATGATTAAACTTGGCAGGTTTGAGGCAAGAGCAAGAAGTGAAAGACAACAGATAAGGGCCTGGAGAAATTGCTAGAATATTCTTAAAAATGTATAGATTAAGGTGGTAGGCATTAGTCTCTATAGTCACCAGGAACCTAGCTCAATATTTAATCCTTTGGATGCATTGTAACTAATGTAGAATAGAACAGAACAGAACAGAACAGAACAGAACAGAATAGAATAGAATAGAATAGAATAGAATAGAATAGAATAGAATAGAATAGAAT